CGGACATCATAACAACCACAGCCCTCCTTCCAAATGGTTTGATTTATCTTTTGTTTGTTTGTTTGTTTTTGTGAAGAAGATTAGCCCTGAGCTAACAATCTGTTGCCAATCCTCCTCTTTTGCTGAGGACGATTGGCCCTGGGCTAACATCCGTGCCCATCCTCCTCTACTTTATATGTGGGACACCTGCCACAGCATGGCTTGACAAGTGGTGCATAGGTCCGTGCCCAGGATCTAAACCTGCGAACCCCAGGCCACCAAAGCAGAGCGTGGGAACTCAACCCCTACACCACCAGGCCGCCCCCAAATGGTTTGATTTTTAATGTTTCCTTTCTTAGTCCCACCTCCTTCCTGCTTTGCAATATATTTGAAACTATAGTATCATATTATTCCTGATTTTCTGAATCTACTCTGCTTCTTAAAAGCCTCAAACATCACATGCTTTGGTGTGTGTTTGTTTTTCTCCTCTCAGTTAGGGAGGACTAAAAGCAATTTTACTTGGAGAAATCTCTTATGACAATTCTTGAGAAACGTACTTGAGAAGGGCTGGTTGAGTGGCTTCTGCACACAATTTGTGTGAAGGAGCCTTAGCTAGAAGAGGGGCTGTGCTTGCCCCATTGCTGGCCTGGGGAATCTTTGGGGAGTTTGATAGTTGAATGTTGAGTACAGCATTATCACAAACCTCAAGGCGTTGTATGACTAAAACATGCTACGACCACGATACATGGATGAATCTCTAAACGAGTATGCTGAGAGAAAGAAGCCAGACCCCAAAGAATACATCCTGCATATGCTGTCATCTGAAACTCTGCAAAAGACAAATCTAGACTGTGACAGAAAATAGGTCACTGTTGGGGGAGGAGAAGAAGGGAGGTGAGAATTGTCTGGGAAGGGGCAAGGACTTTTTGGGGAAATGGAAATATTCTAGATTTTATCATGGTGGTAGTTACACAGGTGTACACATTTGTTAAAATGCATAGGTCTGTACACTTTAAATGGATGCATATAAATATATATCTCAACAAGTTGATTAAGAAATGTGTAAAGAGAGAAGGAAAATCTGCAAATACTTGCACAGTTCTCTTTTTTTTTTTTTCCTGTCTCAAAGCTGTCATGGGCATTTATATAACATCTCAAAATGTGATTGCAATTTCAATAATTCCTGTTTTTGTTTTTGTTTTTTTGGGTCCAGCAAACGTAACTCAGAAAACACTTCTAAGTGTAAGACCTTGACTTCAATCCATTTGGTTACATAAGAACATACAGAACACAAAGCAAATATATATTAATTTTTCTTTCTTGCTGAAAATATTAGGCAGAAATCTACTTCCCGCCATGACTCATACAACACATTTATACTGACAAACTCCTTTGGCCTCTTCTGATTTTTTAACAGAGTTGCTTTAACTATGTGCTACATTTTCTCCCTGCTGTTTGGGTTTGGCTTCCTCACTTATCTCTGTTAATAAAAGGCAGCTTTTCCTAGTGACCTCCTTCCTAGGGACACGGGGAACTAAGGAGGCGTTTCAGAGCCTTCCTCCTCCGGACACAGGCAGCGAGGTGTGAACGTGTGTGCTGACATCCTCAGGCCCCGTCTCTGACTCCTCTCTTCTTCCTCCAGACTCCAGAGCCAGGTGCACACCAGCCAGGTGAAGGTGAGATTGAAGATATGCAGCTCCCCGCTTCTCCTGCAGAACCAGAGCAACAGGGATGGAGCCAGGAAACAGACCATGAGGATTTTGAGACACTGTCTCACCAGAGTGAAAGTCAATCAGACACAAAAACTGACCCCTTTGAGAGTGCTTCAGACACAGAGTCCCTGCCTGGTGACCTCACAGGGGTACTCTGCCTCCCTCCAAGAGGTGCCTCCATGGACAGAGAAGCTCCCTGGGGATGCCCTGACATCCCAACAGCCAGACCTCCTCAGGAGCAGCATTCAACTGGTGTCCCTGGGCTTGTCCCAAAGGAAGAACGAGACGTGTCCCTTGACCTCAAGGAAGCGTCTTACAAGAGTGGGTCCCGAGCCTTGCCTGCAGTTGCTGGAGAAAGGAAGGCAGGACACCTCCGGGACAGCATGGCCAGCCTGGAGCAAAAGTCTTTGCTGGCAGGGGCTCCTCACCACACAGAGGGCTGCTCGCAGGGTGCCACAGGCAGCTACAGTCTCCAGCCACCAAAGGGGGTGACTGTACAAGACCCAAGGTGGTTTTCTGTTTTTTCTCTTCAGAAATCCAGGTCTGAGAGTTGTCTGGGCATCCCAGGGACTTGGCCCTTCCTTCTCTGGTGCTGTGACCTGTGCCGGAGCTGGCCACACATCCACAACAGGGTCGGGGAAACAGGGCTGCCTCTCAGAGGCCCACTGGACAGCAAAGCCCCTCTGGGAGCCAGGACAAAGAAGGCAGGTACTCCAGGGCCTGCAGTGGACACAGACTTGCTCTGCTCCCAGCCTTGCCTTGATGCCCCCTACCAGCTTCCTTTAGGGACATCTTGCCTCCTACACACTAAGCTCTGCCATAGTGACCCAGAAAATATTGCTGACAAGGGCAGGGCATCCCCAGGGCACTACTGTCAGCACATGAGAACATTGACCACAGTCCACTCCACAGCAGGGCTTCCCTTAAGATACCCTGAGGATCCTCCAGGGAAGAACTTGGTGAAGTTTGGGACCCATTTGAAGGAAAGGACAGAAACAGAACAAGATCCAAGAACACAAAACCCTCTTCACCCTGTTCCCACCCTACTGTCTCATTTGCTTCCTGCTTCCCAAAGGAGGGCTCCTTATTTGCAGAATGAGTACAAACCCAGTGCTCTTAGCTGGAAAAGGGCCTCTCAGGACACGCCATCTGAATATCTCCAGCCGGAAAGCCAGCTGGGACAGGACTCTAGGTCCTGCCCAGTCTCTTCATGCCTTGCTGAGGAGTTGGTGAGCCTCCGTGCAGAGGAAGTGCCAATGCCTGCAGAGTGCAAGTCGGAACGCAGCCCAGAAATCAGGCCAGAGGAACCCCGAGGCTCTGCACCAAACTCCGCTGATGTGAGTGATAAACAAAAGCACCTTCAGGACATTACCGTTGAGGCAGGAAACCAAACCAGCAATTACACATTCAAGTATGCTCTCAGTGAGAAAAGAAAGCCCCTTGCTAGGGCCAAGTTCCCACATCATTCTAGCTATAGCCAGTCACAGGTGTGGAACAGAGCCTGGACAGGTTGCACCAGAGTGAGTGAGTGTTCAGACGCTCCAGAGACCACCCTGAAATCAAGTGCAACAGGCACTTCAAAGGAAGCAGAAGACGTGATGGTTCTAGACCCCAACTGCATGAAAATTGCCTTGCAGGGTTTTTCAGAAATAACAGCAGCCACCGTGTCTCAGTGGGGGGATGAGGAGTGTGACCAGGGGCCTGAGGGTGGTGCCACGCCCTTGGCTGAGGGCCTGCAGCTGGAGCCCAAAGCAGACACATCTTCTAGGGGTAGGTGCACGCTCATCACTGTAGCTGTTGAGCAGACGGGTCTGCAGGCCACCAGGAGTAAAGTGGGTCCTCTTCCAGAAACGCAGTCCTGTGAGTTTCTGGAGGAAAGACCAGAATCTTCCCGCAGTGCCGGCGCGACCCCTTCTGAGTCTCCCAGGGCTGGGAAACCACAAACTGACGGCAATGAGTGTGAGCCGCCAGCAGCCCGCGGACTGGGAAATGATGCCCCAGCCGCAGAGCCTGGGGTAGTTCAGATCCCCCAAGCTGCTTCAGAAGAGAGGACCCTGGGCAGAAGAGAGACTTGTTCCCAGGAGCGCGATGGTGGCGTGCTGAGCACAGAGGGGTCTGCGGGAGAGAAGCCGCCTGGGGCGGGCCAGAGCCCTGGGACTGGGGCCGACAACGGGAAAGCTGCTAGCCCCC